AGAATCTTCATTCTACATCAGTAATTTAGAGCTTCTTGCTGTCCAACAGTCAATAGTGCAAGGTCTAGATCCTTTGCAGGGGAATATCCTCATGAGATTCTCATCAATTCTAGTGGTCTCTTAACTTTAATTCTTTCTCTATGGGGCCTATTCCAATCATGTCAGCCTCCTGGCTTGCCATTTTCCTGGGATGATGGATTTCATAGCAAATTGTCTTAGTCCTCACTTTCTTCTGAACAAATGGATTCTCCATTGTGTGGTTTTCTGATAGCTTTGTTCTCATTTTGGGCCCCCTTTTTTAGCTTTTGCCACTTATTGCTACTCAACTACAAGCTTTGGACTGTCCACTACCTCATCCTCAGGCATGGATGGTAGATGCAATTGGTCCTGCTTGGATGGGAATGCACATCTATGACTTTTCCTCACTTTCTCTATTACTCAGAGTTCAAGCTATATTTCGATCCTCTACTTGGAAGATGTTGCTAGCCTAGATTGGCTGACCTAGCCATGATTTCCTCTTCTACAGTTTCTTCATGTGAGTCCACATCTGCATCTTCCTCTTTATCTTTATTGAGGCATTCTCAACCCCAAATTCTACACCAAGACTCTTCCCAGCTTATCGGAGTTTCTTATCTACAGTTGCCTGAGATGTGTCTCACAAGGAATTTGTACCTACTTTACCAAACATGCTCACCATATCTTGTTTTGACCTGTTTTTGTACTTGGGTTTAGCTTCGTCTCCTGTCCTTTAGGTCAGACAACTTTTTCATCTTCTTTTATTTATCCTAAACATCTGACAGTTTTAAAATTCCAAGTACTATCCAGCCTTTTTCATTACTTAATCAAAATATTAAGTTGGTACTACATTGGTATTTTACAGGTGAGGATTCTTCTGAGAGTTGCATCTCATCAGCTCCAGCACATTTATGTCTTTCACTGTCCATTTCTTTGATTCACTGGGGAATATTTTACGGGCCTGTATGTGGACTTTTCCCAATACTTTTTTCTCACATTCTTTATATGATCTGGCAGTATTTCTTCTGAGGGTTTCCCACTATCTCTCATAGCTGTTTTAACAACATCTGCTAGATTATACAGAGGAGGGAGTAATCTTATCTTGTCCTTCTTTTCCAGGGTCCATTACATCTTGCGTTCATCGGATCCCACTTTGTGGCAAGTGTTGCCCAGACAGGTGTGCTTTTATAAATTCAATTCTGCACTAGCAACCCATTTGACTATACTTAATTCTGTTTGCAACAGGTTCTGTAGAAATGAGGTTTTCCATAAGACCATATAGGCACATTACTAGATGGTATTACCTTATTATCATGGACTGCTACTCATGAACTATCATGGGTAAAGCTAAAGGGGATTCTGCCTGTCCCTGCCGATCATCAAATTGAATAAATTGGGTTCAGTTTGCTTTTAAAAATTTAGCAGATTTTACTAGTGGAGCTAGGGAGTCCTTACCACACCTAGTTTCCAGTTGCTGGAGTGGTGGACAGAAGCTTTTCCGCCAGAGTGTTCAAATGTGTTCTTCCACTCTTGAAGAAGAGAGCAAAGCTGGGAGCCCCACTACCCAGGTCCCTTGATGTATTTCCCAGATGTTGGTAGGAGTGGTGCTGGCCTGCGTGGGAGCCTACTCCTAATACCGGTTCAGATTTTATACTATGCTATCCAGTTGGGGTGTGCTTGACCCTACTTATGAACAATGTTGGGTTGTATATTGAGAGAGGTCTGCTATCTCCTCATAATTCCGAATGTGAAGTGGTCCCATCCTAGATCCTTGGTTGAACACAGTGTTCCACATCCTCTCCATAATTTTGGGGGGCAAGTGGAATGCTCCTTGCCCACTTGCTTGGAGAGTGAGGATGAATGTTCGTAATTCTAGACTGGATGAGTTCTATTTCTTTGGTTGAGTAAGGCATATATGAACCTGTCATTCTGAGCCTGGGTTGGTGCCTTTCAGACTTCTTCAGGTGGAAGAGAAAATGTGTCCACTTTAGTGTTGCTTACTTTCTCATCGTAATTCCAGTGGGTCAGAACACATCACTCTATGGGCACAGGTTGGGATCCAATCCAAAGTATATCTATATATCACATTGCGGTCCAATTGCCCTAGCCACCAACATGAGATATAGGGACCATGATCCCATAATTCCAACCCCAAGTTGTGGAACCTTGGTTTTATGGTTGGAGCTGGCCTATAATAATTACTTATGTACTATTCCACCCTTGATACCAATATGAAGTACTGGGTGAAGAGCATGCCTGTTCTGGATGTTGTGCAGTTTCCCCACTTAGTTACCATTCTTATCTTGGTACACCCTTGTTCTATACAAGCGCTTTCTGTATGGACAATGCCCTCACTGGCCCCTCCACCTTCTCAATGTGGGATTCTAGCTAAAGTGTCAGTGGAAGATAAGTATGTTTTGGAAGTTAACACTTTCTTAAATTGCAAATGTATTTCCAATAATACTTACCCTCACTGACACTCTCCTGCCCTTCTTCCCTACTAAGAGGCTGTGTTAGTGACTGGGATGGTGTAAGTCTTGAAAAAGTGATTACATTATCTGAGTAGGTGCTTATATACAGTGTCAGGATAGAGGGTGCATTTATGCAGGGGAAGGAATTTGCAAATTAGATATTGCCTTGGGCATTTAAGTGGGTTATAAAAGACTGGACCATGCAAAAAGATAGGCAAAGCCGATGTCGAGGAATAGCTAAAGTGCCAGTGGAGGTAAATATTATTGGAAATACATTTTGAATTTAGGAAAATGTTAACTTTTGACCAATACTAAGTGGACCCCAAGGGTGTGCAACTGGGTATTATTATTTATCTATGTGCATGCATGTGTGCATCTTTTTATGTGAAAAACCACATAGAAAAGAAATATGATTGGCATAGCTTCAAGTGGAAAAAAAGCTAGAAACCTGAAATTTTGCACCCATACTAAGTGGACCCTGAAGGTGTGCATCTTGGTAGTATTACTTTTAAATGAGGCAAACTAATGAAAAACCACATACAAAAGAAGTAGTTCCTTATATTACAAATAGTAATCACAGACAAACAGACACACACGTGAGTGCTTGTGCACATATCTGTGTATGTATGCCTGCCACAGCTCCAGAAAACAACAAATATTTTTTTTCAATTTTGTAGTTTGTACATTTCTTTTTATACTTTCAGCACATAGACTCTTAACAACAATATTTGGTTATACTTTTATTGCTAAGTAACATGATATAAAAGCCATTATTGGAATGCATGGGCTTTCCTATACATTAGAAGATGATATATTATAATTATTATATTATTATTATTATTATGAAGTGTGTCTGTATGTCTGTCTGTGATTTCTTTGGGAAAACAACCAATATTGTCTAATCTGAAGCACTGCAACTGTAAAAAATTGTAATAGATTCTGATAAAATCTGATTGAAATTTGTGATATCAAATATAAATGTGAAATATTTAATGGAATGATAAAGTTCTTTGATAATAAATAATTCTTAATTTACTGTACTTACTTTATGACTTTTTTATGTTTCTGGAAAATATAAATGTTTAAAATAGTTTTGACTGTTCTTCTATGCTACAATTGGTTCAAAATACAAACACTGACATAGTCATCTAGAATATATCAACCTAATATCCTGAGCGAAACCGGGTACTTTCACTAGTGTATGATAAACTGATCAATTCTAAGCCAAGTTCCAACTCTTTACTCTTTGTTTTTTTGCACTTCACAATTAATAATCCTTATTTAGACAAACAGAATTTTCTACCCTTTTCCAAGGCTAAGCAACATTTTCAAACAGTTCTGAAGATAATAAGCTTATGCAAAAATATATTACTTCAAATTTTTATCTGTTTCCTGGTTATAAGATATTGTATAGCTCATAGGGAAAGTTGTGAACTAAATACTTTGTGTCCTTGCTTCTACCTTGTTGGCTTAACTCTGTTTCAATATTACAACTTCATTATTATTTGCCTTGTGTGAGACCTAACTCAAAAACTTAACATTGGGAAAACCACTCTTAAAAACATATCTTAAACATCTTTTTCATACCACACTCATGTTAAGAAAATAAATTATGATAAATGAATTGTTTTAATTTCATTTTAAATTCAAAATATGATTCTGTGCTTTTCTGCTCTGGCAGGAAAGATTGTTTTTGAGAGAATATTGCTAAGTTTGGTCATTTTTCTACAATGTAATAGGAAGAAAAGATTACTTTAATGCCATTTATAATTGAACTGAAACCTGATAAAATTGTATACTGAGAGGTACTGATAAATCTCTGGATAATTCATATATTTTGTCAATGTACATGTAACATGATCATGGCAGGGAGTGTGGTTTATGAACATAAGTAATGTCTAATGTACTATGACCATGGTTGGGAGTATAGTTTATAAATGAAGGTAATTGATATATATCTCAGTGTACCATGACCAAGGCTGGTAGTATAATTTCTAAATGTAGGTAACTGATACAACCCAGTATACCATGATTATGACTGGGAGTGTAGTTTATAAATGTAGGTAACTGATACATCTCAGTGTAACATAGTCATTGCTTGGAGTTTAGTTTATATATGTAGGTAACTGATAAATCTCAGTGTACCATGAGCATGGCTGAGAGTGAAGCTTATAACTGTAATTTTTTATATCAACAATACATCAGGGTCATGTAGTAAATGTAGGTAACTCATGAGTTGTATTAAACTAATGTGGTCATAATAAGTGTATAATGTATGTGTAACTGATTTTCATCAGTGCATCATGATCGTGGCTGGATATGTTTAATGTGGGTAACTGATAAGTTGCATTAGTGTGCCATGATCATGGTTGGGTTATTATATAAAAGTAAAAAAAAAAAGTTTAGAAAAGCCAGTTTGTAAGAGATTAATTTTAAAATATACAAACAATTCACTATTCACTGAGTAAAAGAAGAAAGTTTTTGATATTATTTTAATTTATTTTGTATTTATAGGTGTATCCAGCAAATGTTGGTGTTCAATTCCTGCTTCCCCCTGGTGTTAGTCTAAAACAAGTGTATTTAACTAGGGTACAGCTGATGAAATTGATAGAGACAAATTCTCATAGTCGAGCTACGTGTTTCAAGATACAGAAATATCTCAGGTCCACAAGAAACAGTGTTACACCAAAAGAACTGACTACCACTGACAGTGAAGAAGTTTGCAGCAACACACATCGTTTGTACAAGCCAACAAATATCAGTAATGCTACTGTTAACCATGGCAGCAAACCTAGAAGTCTTCAACAAAGATGCTTGAATACTTATAGACCTACTAAATACTCATCTGTGAGTGATGACCATGATCAAGGATTGAAACATGCTGCAGTTTTAAGTAGGGATGCCAAACCTATTTTATCTGGTCAGTGTTCTAAGAATGATTTTTGTCAATCTGTTGTTGAATCTAAAGTTGAACACAAGATAGATGTTAAGGTCCATTCCCTAGTCAAAGATCTAAATGTGAAACAAAAATTTGAAACTCTGTGTCAGACAGTACAAAAGTCACTGTCTAGCCTTTCATTAGATCCAGTTTTGCAGCAGAAAAAGGTGGAGAAATCACAGGTAACACCTGTTAATGATCAGCCATTTAATGTTCTGATTGGAGGCTGTAGAAGAACATCACGAAGGTATCACCCAAAGACAAAAAGAAAAACTTCAAGAGAGCGGTTGAAGTATCAAACTACTAGTATATCAGACAGTTCTTGTTTGTTATCTAAAGATGCTGTCAGCTCATCTGACTTTTGTGTAAATATAGATGGATTTCATGAAAACAAAGTTAAGAAAGACCCATTTCTCAAGATAGGTGTGTTTGAGAAACCAGTTTTGAATGAGAAAAATGTTTTGACATTTAGTGATGCCACAGAGTATTTTCCTAATTTTCAAGATCTTGATGTTCGTCTTAAACACAATAACTCAAATCTGGAAATGTTTTCTTCAGTTACTGGAGAAACTGATTGGTATCATACTCTTCTAACCAGTTTTCCCCATCTAAACAACAAGGAGAGTATGGATTGGCCTTTAAAGTTCACATACACATCAGATTTCAGTTCCTACATTGATTTAAATAAAAACAAGCTGAACCTTTTTCACCTGTTTCAGAACTCTTTTAGTTTACGATCTCCAAGTAATCTCACAAAACAGGAATCATCTGAAAATGTTGGTATTAAACAGGATCATAGCCACCAGTCATCATCCGAATCCCACAGACATTACAAAGATGTTGAAGATAGTAAAGAAAAATATGTTTCTGAGAACTGTGAGACAGTGCTTTCTGACGAAAGCAGCACTGAAGATGACTGTAGTGACAGTGAAAAAGAGGATCTTTATCCAATGATTTTGTATATCCAGAGATACTGTGAACTGGCAGTAGTCCTTCTCCTCGACCAAGAAGTTGGGTGTGATGAAGAGGTCATCCACAAGCTAGTATGTTTCAGTTTGTCTCTGTTCTGGTATAATTTCTAACATATAAAAAAATTTTGTTATAAGAAGAAACTTGTCTGTTATGTACATATACTTTCAATTTTCATATACAGTTAATAACACATTCTTTCCAGATCACAAGGTGAACTGTTATAAACTAGCACGGAGGACATACAATTCCTTATACGCAGAGAGATAGAGTTTTAAATGCCATCTGATGTTTTTTCTCCTGTTGGCTCTGAGGTTGAGTTGTGGGAGATTGAGAGTGGACTAATAAGACTTTAGACTATTTTTTTAGCACCTTGTTCACCATGTTTTGAGTATTTCTTCTGTGGCTTATGACTTGTCACCTTCATTATTAGGAGAAACTACTTCATCTGATTACCTGGCCCTTCCATGTTCCCCAGACATTGCTTCACATGCAAGGAGAGTTGCAGATCAATTGAGGGAGGATGCTGCCATGCCTTGTACTCCTTGTTTATTGGATCAACATGCCTTGGCTTTCCATCACCTAGAGTACCCTTATATGGACTCTCAGAGGTTAGACCCTCTACTTCCTAATTGGGGCTTTAGACAAGATGCCATTGTTTGTCTTACTTCATCTCAATTTTCCAGAATTCCAGAAACTTACAATGGTTTTATATTTTTTATCATCTTTGTAACTGTTGTTTGAGGCCTATATTAGTTTTCCTGCTCAAATTTCAGAGAATCTTAGTCATTTATTGGCTTCTGCTCTCTCCTTTGTATCTTGGTTGGTTTGTTGCTGGGATCTTTTGGAGAGAGATGCCTTACTAAAGGGAGTTCACCTTCCTGCATCAGACCTTAGAGTTCTTGGAGAAGCTTTTTTTCTTCAACAGTCTATTTTGTGGGAATTCCAGACTCCACGGAATGTCAGGGAGTTGTGGCCTGTCTAAACTCTTCACTTTATACACTGGCTTCTTGACTGTCCCAAAGTTTTTATACAAGGCAGTTTATGGCATCTCCCATTCGCAATTCCAGACCTCCTGCTTTGGTGCCATGATCCATTGGAACACAAGGGAAATTCTGACCTTACCAGCAAGGATCCTCCTCAAGGGTGGAACACAGGTTTCGGTGTTGGTGACTACCTTATGGAGTTAGGTCCTGTGGGGTTTCTTCTCATAATGTTCTAGTCAGTCACCTCCTTTCTCAGGAATTTTTATTCTTGGCTCTCTCCAAAAAGATGGGTGATTGGTGACCAGTCATCAAATTTTCTCATCCCACTTGCTTCCTCCAGCCAGGACGGTTTACAATGGAGTCTTTATTTCCCTACAGTGGCTCTTTTCACCCGGACTATGGATGATATAATTCAACGTTGAAGAGGCCTTCCTTCGTATCCCTATTGCCGAGTCTTCAAGGCATTTCAGTTTCATGCTCTACCAGCTGGCCTACATTTTTTGCTGGATAGTCAGAGGTTTTTCACATCATCTTCACTCCCTCAGCATGCACATTCACCATTACATGGACAACCGGCTTCTTCTTGTCCCTTCCCACCATTTAGCAGGACTGCACATCAACCACTGTTATCAGAAGCTATGAGGGCTGGATTTCTTATTTTAAAAAAAAGGAGACATCTATTCTTACTCCCACACTGTATCTCATCCATGTAGTGGTGTTTTTCACTTCTAGACTAAGCTGGATCCAACCTTTTTTTTGTACACCTTCAGGCCATGGAGCTGGTGTTTCTTCAAATACAGTTGTCTCCTTCTCCACCAGCATGCACACTCCTATCTCTTTTGGAGATGTTGGAATCCTTGGAATCACTCATTCCTTTAGGTTGGGCCCACAGGAGGGCCCTTCAATGATCATTACTGGACCAGTGGAACATTTGCATAGATGTGCTGCATTGTGCAGTGAGACTGTCAAATTTCAGTTTGTTGGATCTCAGCTGGTGGTTGGACAGGCACAACACAACAGTAGATATACCTCTACCACCTCCATGGCTGGGGTTACATCTGTTCACAGATGCTTCTCTTCGGGAAGGGGGTGCTTGTATGGAAAATATGGTATTCGAGGGACTTTGGACAGTATAGGAAGTTTCTCTCCACATCAATCTCTTAGAACGTTTAGCAGTGCAACGGGCTATGACTCAGGGCCTCATTGTTGCAAGGGAAGGTGGTATTGCTTCATTTGGACAATTCCACAGTAGTCTCGTACATTTCAAAGCAATGGGCAATCACTTCAGATCTCTTTGTTTTCGACCAATGGATCTTCTCCTTTAGGTACACAACCACCAGATTGTTCTCCTTTCTTGTCATTTTCCAGAGGTAATGACTCTAGTGGTCAACCAGTTGTCATCCCAACAGAGCTATTCCTATGAAATGGATGCTTCATCCTCAAGTTCTTCATTGGATCTGCTCTTGTCTAGAGACACCACAGATTGATGCTTTCACCACACATTGGAATGTTCGTTTCCCATTCTTCTGGTCTTCAATACCCTCACCCTCTGGCTTTGGGAGTAGATGCTCTCAGCCAGGATTGACAGGTCTTCATCTTTATGCATTCCTTCCAATTCATTTGCTTTCCAAGATTCTGGCACTGATTCATTTTATCCAGTTCTTTGGGTGGTACAGTATTGGCCAAGTCAGCCCTGGTTTCCACTTCTCCAGTATCTTCAGGAGTGCCAACCTCTTCCCCTTCCTCCCTGGTCATCTATCGTATGTCAGCCTTGTTCTGACATTTTTCATCCAGCAGTCAGCATTTTTCATGCCTAACATTTGTGCAATCTGTCACACATCATCAGGGATTGACATATTGAGTGGTGTCCTTATTAACACGTTCCATTTAACATTCTTCTTTGGAAGTTTATCAAAGGCAATGGTTTACTTCTTGTCAATGGTCTTTCATACATGGGTTTAACACTTTCCATCCCATTGTGCCACATGTTTCAATTTTTGGCAGGATTGTTTGACAAAGGTTTGGTACCTTTATCTGTTGCCTTGTATAAGGCTGCCTTATCAGCTACTTTTCGTTTTTCTAAGAGAAGAAAAAATTTTTGAGTCCCCAGTTTTATCATTACTTTTGAAATCATTCCAGGTTATCTGTCTGTGTTTCCCCTCCTCTCTTCTAGTGGAGCTAGGGAATCCTTACCATTCTCAATTTCCAGTTGCTGGAGTGGTGAACAGATGTATATTCCTCCTGAGTGATGTTTGTATTCTTTATTCCTCTCAAGGAGAAAAGGGTGAAGCTGGATACCCTCCCACCCTTAACCCTGGATGGTTTTCCCAGAGGTCTGGTGAGGAGCTGGATCAGCCTATGCAGGAGCCTCCTCGTAATTCCAATTCAGTGATGACACTTTGCTCTCTGGTTAAGTGCGCATGGTCCTTATTTTTGGTCATTCTGTTACTTCCTATGATCATGGAAGAGGGTCCTCAACTCCTCGTAATTCCACATGCGGTGTGTCATGTCCAAGAGCCATTGATTGAACTTCATTTGCTCCACATCCTCCTTGTAATTCAGGGGGCAGGAGGTGTTGCCTTGCCTCTCAGGTTGAGGAGTTAGGATTTGGGTTCATAATCCCAGGTCAGATGATCTCTGTTTCTTCAGGTTGAGTGAGGTGTGAATTAGCTCTGTAATTCCGAGTTCAGTTTATTGCATTCTGTGCATCATCAGGTTGGGGGGGGGGGACTTTTCCAGTTGGGTATTGCTAGCCTTCCCTTCATAATTCCAGTGGCTCGCATGCAACATTCTGTAACTTTTAGTTTGGATGCCTGGGTCCATTATTCTGAGTTTGGTTTGTTGCATTTTGTGCTTCTTCAGGTTGGGGTGAGGGTATGTCCACTTTGGTGTTACTTGCCTTCCCTTCATAATTCAGGTGACTCAACACGCAACTTTCTGTAACTTTCAGGTTGGATTCTCTTATTATACGGTTATATCATATTGCAGTCCCCATGCCATAGCCACTACACCTTGGATTTAGCTTTGCATCCACAGCCCTATAATTCCAACAATGAGAGGTGGAACCTCATCTTTGTGGTTGGGGCCTGGAAAAATCTTGTAATAATGAACAATATTGAATCTGTAGTTGGTTGGCCTCTACCTCCAACACTGAGATTTCACTTTACTGGGCGAAGAGCATACCTGTTCCAGAATTAGTGCGGACCCCAACTAGTGTGCTTTATTATATCTCAACTTTGCACACCTGTTTTTTCTATACAGATGCTTTCTATGTGGATCTTCCCCTCACTATCCCCTCCACCATGTCAATGTGGAATTCTAGCTAAAGTGTGAGTGGATGTGTGTTTTGGAAGTTAGCATTTTCCGATACCGAAAATGTATTTCCGATAATACATAATTCCCTCACACTCTCTCACCCTTCCTCCCCATGATAGTCATTGTTTGGGTCTGATAATCTTGCCAGTCTCAAAAAAGTGTATAAAAAACAGAATAATGGGGAGCTAATATACGGATCAGGCATAGAGGGCGCATTGATGTAGGTGGAGAGAGTCATAAGATTAAAATTGCTAGGGGCAATATAGTGGGGTATAAAGACTGGAGCAAGGAAGGTAGAATACATACCAATGCTTAGACAGGCAAAGAAGAGAAACTTTTGTCGGGATAAAGCTAAAGTGTGAGAGGAGGTAAGTATTGTTAGAAATACATTTTTGGTATAGGAAAATGTAAACTTTCAAAACATATGGCTGGTATTGAAAGAATTAGGTTTTGGTTTTAAGGTAAGAGTGAGTAGCTTTTACTCCAGTCATATATATTTCTTATCATCACACATGAATTACAGACATTTTCAAATAGTGATTTTTGCTAAATGAAAACTCCATGCCATGTGGCTTATTTTTGAATTGTTATTAGTGTTTATATTCTAGCACTTCATTTTGCATAATTAAGGCCTAGACACAAATTTGAAGGTATTTATATTTGGAGGATTGAATGCTTTGGTATGGTGTGAGTTGGAGCATTTTATTGTTATGTTGCTGCTTCCTCAAGTATGAATCAAAATGTTGTCTCCAGTGTTTGGAAATGACACAGAATCAGAGGAAATGTACAGGGTTGGCAAACCCAAAACAGTACTGCTCACTGACTATACAGGCTTGCCAAGATCCTTTCCAATAACACAGAAGCTGTTGTGACCTTCAAAATGCATCTGGAGTTCTTGTATCAACTGAAGCTGTTCATAATAAAGTTGAGGAGGCTGATATATGGTCATAGAAGTCTTGTATTACAGTCTCATTGATCCAGTGTCAAAGCAAAACTGTAGAGATTGGGCTCAAGTCCAACTAGATGTGATGTGATTTCTCTTTAAAGACAAAGTCCATATTTTCTTGTGATTTCACAGATCAACTTACCAGATTGTGGATAGAACCTTTGGAATGCTATTACAACGTTAACACTGCTGAACATAACCATTGAGTGGGGCATCATCTCATTCTGAGGTAACATCTGATTCTATGGCAAGACTGACCTCCATCTATCCTAGGATGGCTGATTGAGCTTTACAGTACAGGGATGAGATCATGGACATTTAGATAAGATTGTAGACTGATGACATTGGTTGTGACTTTGTCTTTATGGAGAAGTTCCTTCAAAAGGAAACTAATATCTGTGTTGAGTGGCCTACTCCAGACATTAATCCAATTGAGGATATGCGGAAATCTCTTCAGCATAGTGTTTGGTCCACCCCATTACTCTACAATAGCTGAGAGGGATACCCTTGTAGATGAATGGGACCACCTGACACAGATGGCTCATTAACAGCATACAGAGATGATTCCAGATAGTGGTCAGTGCTTGTGATGGACACATTAGCTATTGATAAAATTTAGTTTTTTTTTTTTTACTAATCAAGTTTAAACTGTCCATGTAACTAAAATGTTTCATTTTGAAGAGTTTTCTCTTCCATGTTATGCAAGGACATGTTAATGGGAAAAACGTGTCATTCATGCTTAATAAAGACTAAATTAAAAAAATTAATACTATTTGTTATGAGACATGTAGTTAATTAGTACTATATTTCTACTTAGAAAAGTACTACCTAAAAA